AATCAATGCTTTTTAATAATCTAGTAATCGAGTTTAGTCGAGTAATTGTGACAGCTGTACATCACACACATTTCCCGCTAGTAGGAGTGGTGTTTATTAAATGAGGCGTGGCACATTGCTGTTTTAAGGCAGCGAAATGACAGTGTGCATTTGACCAAAAAAACCCCACCTCAACTTAAGTACAGTTTAACAATGCACCACTCTTAAGTGGCATGTTTTAGAAATGTGGAGTGCATGACACTCGTTTTGATAATTAGGGCTACATAATATATCATGCCAGGACTGCATGATATATTGAATGCATGTGCAATAATCATTGCATTTCTTGAAACTGGCTGCAGCACCTCCAACTTATGTGATAGATTCTATTGGTAGATAATTCCATTTGGCTACAATTTGCTTTGAGTAATTTCATCTTCTTTTTTTTTTATAATAAATACAGTAATCTTACTTGCAGATATTTCATGTGTCAGTGTGATATTGTGTAGCCCTGCCCCAGACCCTCTTTTATTGGCTTTGTCATTCTGAGCTCACTGCCAGGTATGACACAGCCCTTTCTTGTGATGGGAAGTGGTTGTTGCTTTATTGCATAAGCTCTCCACTCACTTGAGTGTGCTGAAACACAAGATGACAAGATCATGCATTTTGTTATGAAATCTAGTTAAAAACCAAGAGTAACTGATTAAGAGGGTATTTCATGTTGTCCCTTAATTCCCCACCAGACACAAACATCCCATATTCCAAATTCAAGATGGATTGTACAATTATGGGATGGAAGACAAGCAATGTAGGGTCAGAAGTGAAATGGTACATGTGTGCATATAAGAATGCTTTAGCTGTAGGGATGTAACGATATACTCAACTCGTTCAGTACACCTTCATAATGTATTCATTAAGTATTCAGAAATCATTCATAAACATGCATGTATACCTTTGCATCATAACATCCCTTAACAGCTGTAATATACATTAACAAACATTATACAATTATAATGTTTGTTGTTATATAATCATGTAATGTTTGTTATTAATGTATATTAAAGCTGTTAAGGGATGTTAGGATGTTAGTGTACTTGCATGCTGCTTATGGATGTTCTATGAATGCATTATGAAGGTGCACTGAATGTTCTATACATGCATAATGAATGCATTCATTAAGGTGCACTTAGTTTTATTTGGTAATGCTTTATATTAAGACTTGCATGTGCAGCTTTTTAGCGTGGTTTGCCCTTTTAATAATTTTCGCTCTGGCAGTGGTGAATTGAGCTCACTGTGGTGCCAGTGGACATGCTGAAGCATGTTCGTTGTGCTATTTGTGTATGTTATCAGTCTTTTACAATGTTTGCAGGCAGCTTTTGTCTTGTCTGCTTTTCTCACCGTTTTCGTTTGATTGCCGGAAAGCTAAAATGCTGCCACACCACCGATTTAAGATTGGGGGGGTGTTTCCTCAATTTCAAATTCGCTCGCCATCTCGCGTTCAGTCAAAACCAAAAACTAATTTACAACGTCCACGTGAATACGCAGTGACATCTGACGTCGAACTGACTATGTGAAATCAAATGTAATATTACACCAGTTTTTCTGTTTAGGAGTACTTCACGGTACTTTACTTAAGTAGCCCTTCATTTTCCACATCATTCGGTTTAAATCGTCATACATTTATATCGATTTTTAACTGAGTCGCGATTCATCGTTACATGCCTAATTAGCTGATGGCGTTAATGCTGAATACATGCATGTGCTGTTAATGGCAACTGGGGTACCTAATGAGACCCATAAACACACATGCAGACTCAGGTGCAGGCGCTGTGCAGGATGCAAAGAATCCAAAATCTGATCATCTGGCTGAATATCCATTTCTGGGCCAGTGGAAATTCTCACAAGCAGGCCGTAAAACTAACCTGATGCAAGATTTCCCAAAACCGTTGAACTTCCATCAGGTTTGGATGTGGAAATGTTGTGAAGCTGTGGTACAAATTGGTTGTAAGATATGCCATAATGCGCAGATGTGAGGTACAAATGGAGCAGGTGGTGTGGATGGGGTACTACCAGCAACTTGTAGGCATGTAGATGGAGAGAGAGAGAGAGTGTGTGCGCCTACCCCACTGGTGCAAAAGATAGCTGAACATTATTAATGCACTTTTCCACTGCTATAAAAGAGACCAGTCCTATCACAGTTCCAGCTCGCTTAGGTTTTCCACTGCTCGGTAAAGGAGTTGCCAGATTTGGAGTGCAATGGTGATGTAAAATCTAAGAACCTTATTTACTGTTTATACGGTGTACATCATGACTTAACATACGCCTTTTTTTTTTTTTTAACCTGTGTGCTAATTTCCACTAGCTTGCATAACATGGCATTTCTCATTGGCGTGCATTGAACACTAATGGAATAAGCATTCACTTGTGTAAATTTGCATTATGAATACATCCTGTTCAGCTGTTCTATGGTACTTTTTTTTTTTTTTTTTTTAAGTTATCGGGAATGCATAAATACATCGCGATGTGTGATACTACTTATAATGAATAAAATGTACCATTTTTCCTTCACATAGTCCATGCACAGAACACCGGAATCTCCATGCATTTTGACCAGTCAGATGGTGGTGATGCGACCAGCTTGGTTTGGTCGCACCTAGCAGGGTCGTGTCAGCCTCACATACTTTACAGTGAAAACATGGCTCTGTTTTTGCTGCCAGTGGAAAAGCACCATTTGACATCACTGTAATTGTATACAGAAATTTCCCACATTTATAAGCGCTAGATTTGTGGGAATCGATAAAATTATGCATGCCACCAGCGATTTTACATTGGAATTCAAGCCCTGATAATGAATGTCACATGATGTTTTTGACTCAAGGGTTCTTCATTGCCAATACATCCATGTACAGGTACAGCGTGCACTGAAATTCCATTTCCCTTGGTTTCCCCTATAGTGCTACACATAGTTAGGTCAAAACATTGTAATCCCTTTCATTCAAGAGTACAGTACTGCACAATTAAGTAATGTACTTTACTGTATTTAGTGTTGGTAATGTCTTACTGTTTATATTTTAACAATTAAACTTTACGATATGTATGTACACAAGATTCACATTATACATGGGGTCCATGGATGATTCCTAATTATCCACAGATTTGACCATCTGCAGGAATGCATCACCTCTGGATATGGGGGGACTGCTGTATAAATAATATAGAAATTTGTTTGGTTGCTATTCCAGTAAAGTACTTTGTGCCTGACTGTGTAAGTGGCGTAACTGCGAATCTTCTTTTGACCTAAGTTAAGAGCAGCCCAGAAAAGAAGCCAGCGGAACCCAAGGATGCGCTGACTCCAGAGGAGCAGCAGCAGAAGGAGAAGGACCTTCAGGAGCGCATCCAGAAGGCTGCTGCCTGCACATACATCCTGCCTCTGGGCCGTGACCGCCAATATCGGCGCTATTGGCTCTTTCCCTCCACCCCTGGTCTGTTCGTGGAGGAGGACTTCTCAGGTCTCACAGAGGACATGCTGCTACCGAGACCTCCTTCTGAGCTCAAAGATGAGCCACTATCTGTGCCAGAGAATGCCGGGGAACCTGCTGACATCACCACGGACTCTGCTCTGCTTCAGAGCTGCGGGCCTCCAGTGAACCGTCCCAACATCTGGGCCTTCTATAGCACCCCTCGGCAAGTGGAGCAGCTGATCGAGGCGCTGAATGGCCGTGGCCACCGGGAGAGTAACCTGAAGGAGGCACTGTTGCAAGAGAAGGAACGCATCACACAGATCCTGGGCAGCTGCTCAGCTGAGAGGTTCCACCACCCAGGTATGAGGCCTCAACATCTAGTGTTAACCTTGTGTTGAGAAACTGCTCTGTGTGCGTGACTGCGATTGTGTTTATGACTTTACTTCAGCCCTCCATGGTCAATTTTTTAATCCTTCACAGGGAACCCGCAGCTGCTTCTTAAGTCCTAAAAGGTCTTAAAATAAAAATGGGGAAATTTAAGGTCATAAATAGTCTTAAATTTTGCTATTTCAATTTGTACGACGTGATTAGCAAATCACAAAGGCTGCAATGTAACATATGCATTATACAGGACATCTCACCCAGGGTTTAAAACTGTCCCAAGAATAGTTTTACAAATTCATCCCATCCTCCTTGTGCGAAAGTCATTCTCACCAACTGGAACTGCCACGTTCCTACCGTGCCAGTCATGCTGACTAAACAGAAGTGGCCCAAGGCCACAAACAACAAACACGTGAAACCCAAGGAAAATGTTACACTCGTGGTGAGAGAAAAATCAGTTCCACTGCTGAGCGATAAGTGAAGTACCCTATTATTATGGGTCCAAGCAGCATTAGCTGCAGGATCCCTATTGTTTTCTTACTGGAATTTTTATTTTATTTTGATTATTATTACTTTATTTAACTAACAGTCACAGCTTTTGTTATAATTGTTTTATGTCTAAACTAACCTTTGTGTTCATGGAACTTTCAGGAAACACTATTTACTAATGGTGAAACAGCGGTTGAGCGCCGTTGGCAAACGCAGCACTTGTAAAAATACATTTGACCATGTTTGGATGGCTAGCTACCCGGCACTTGACAAATAAATGACCATAAAACAATGAAGGTATTTTGCATTAAATGAATAGTAAATTGTATGACAAGAAAATACCTTGCATTTTAACCTGTATACCGCAAATTGAAGTAGTAAAGATTAAAATGCATTATATTTTGTTTTCATATCAGCGCAAATGCACATAAAATAAGTACGCATTTACACTGATACCACAATCGATTGTCGCATGTATCGTTTTAAAGGTGAATGCGTACCAGTTATGTCCACCCCTGGATATAAAGGATTACTGTAGATTACTTATATTGGCTTTTTCTGACTTTAAATGCAAGCACTCAAAGGACCATTGGGCTCCAAAATTTGGTCAGTTCAAAAAATGAAACCCTGAAATTATGTACCTGTACATAGACAAACCCATAGAAGAGGGCAAAGTGGGCACAGTGAGGCCGAAGAATGCGGCGGAAGGCTTGTCCACTGCGGAGCGGCACATGGAGAACCGGCTGAAAGACCTGCTGCTTGACATTGAGGATCGCATCTTCCAGGGAACTCTGGGAGCCGTCAAGGTAGGGTGGGCAAGGCGGCCGCTGTAATGCCAGTAAAAAAGCCAGTCAGGGAGTGACTGCTTGTGTTTATGAAACTCTGAATTACCAGCAATGGTGTTCTCTGCCTCTTTTTCTATATTTCTAATAGAGGTGTAACAGTGCACAAAATTCACAAACCACAGCTTTGAGTTCATGGTTTGGTGCAGTTTTGGTACAACAGGGAACCAAATTTGCTTTAAGTTATTAAAACCACAACTAGAAACCATTATAAGCAATGTGTCTGTCAATGTATCTGAATAACAAAACCTAAGAAATTGTAAAAATAAATATAGAAAATTAAAAATTCAAAACCTAAGACCACACCATAATAATCCTAATGTTGATTCTAATGTAATAATCCTGTGTTCTCTACTACTGAGTGGTTGCGTACCTGTTGCAATAAAACCCCTTTATCCATAGTTTTTATTTTTATATTTTTTTAGCCTGATCTGAATTTCCTGGCAGAAGCACATTATACAGGGTTCGTACAGTCATGAAAAACCTGGAAAAGTCATGGAATTTTAAAATGGCAATTTCCAGGCCTGGAAAAGTTTTGGAAAATGAATAAACTCAGAAAGTTTTGGAAAAGTCATGGAAATTTGTTTTTCAAAAATATCCGTGTACTTGAATTTGTTCAATTGATAATATTGGTTTTCAAATTGCAATAATTTTTTCGTTCGGGCGATCAGTCACATCCCAGTCAGCACAAGTACGTCGGCGCTACGTCGCTGATAAGTTTTTTTAAGGTCGGTATTTAGTAGCTTTTCAGTCATTTGCACATTGGGCGTTTAAGCGAGCAACACTTTTCAACACCGCGACGATCCGACGTTTTCGCGAATAAAACGCGATGCTTCGTAATGGAACGCGATCCAAATGCGACCATCCGCCGTTTATGCGACGTATTGCCTACATACTTGTGCTGACAGGGATCACGTGACATGTTCTCTGCTTGGGGCAACTCAGTTGCAGCTGAGCAAAAATAAACAATGCCGGGAAAATGTCGCTTTAATAATGTTTGGCTTCAATCTGAAAAGTATAATGCATGGCTTGAGAAAGACCAGGACCCGGGACGAGCAAAATGTAGACTTTGCCATAAAACGTTCGACATTTCGAACATGGGAGAAGCAGCGCTATCTAGCCATGCTAAAGGTGCAAAGCACCAAATTTAACAGCATTTTTTTGCCCTGAAGAAGGCCACAGAGGCTGAAACATGTTGGCATGTTTTTAATGGATAACCAAGTTTAAATAAAGGCTTTTAAAACTTATATTCCTTGTGAGTGCCTCAGAACTACTGTTTATTAAGTCATGAATATTTACCTTTAAGTCATGGAAAAGTCATGGAAAAGTCATGGAAATGTAATGGTAAAAATGTGTACGAACCCTGATTATACTAAACTTGGAAATGGCATTTAACAGTTGACAGTCTTATCTACACTCTCCAGTGTTAGTTTATTTATTTGGAAGCCACAATGTTCCCAGACCTACTGATTTAAGTGACGTGGGAGCATCTTTGAGCTCTCCAGTACCAGCCGTAACCAACTCTCAGCCACAATTAACATAATGTTTTCCATGTTGAACTTCTATGTGGGAATTTAGGTTCCTCCCTTGTCAATAAATGTACAGTCACCCCTCGTGCATTCGCACTTCGAGATTCGCAGATTCACAGATCTGCGAAAATTACATGTACGTGTTTGCTTTTAAAATAAAATTATTTTATTGAATTGTACCTTAGTTATGTATATGACTTCTGTCAATAAGTTCCTTCTGTGTGCCACGCCACCTCGTTAACCCCATGTGGAATCCCCATGTGATCAGTTGTTTCTGGTTGTTGTCATTATTCCTCTGTATTTCGTCCGTGTTTTAGTTTGTAACCCCAGTCCGGTCATTGTATTGTCCGTGTGCGGTTTGCCTGCCTTACCTGTAATTAAACCCCGTATTCCCCGATACTCTGACGTCTACGCCTTTGTCTCTGTTCTGTCCTTGCTCGGCACAACAATATTATTATAATTAAAAGTATTAATGGTTTATTATTATTAAAATAATTTATAAAATCTTTATTTTTAAATGTATTTTATTATATAATACTGTTACTGTCTCTCATTGTCTAAATGTATTTTTACTGTCTAAATATATGTATTCAGCTAGTGTAAACATGCATTATGCTATCACACAGAGACTGTGACTGAAGCGTTACCTTTTGTTTCCGCTGAGAGACATGCTGCGTGACTCATTTCCCCGCGCGTACAAGTTATCTTAGGTCGGCGTTCACGGTTTGACTTCTGAGATTCAGATCGAGTTCTAGGTAAAAAAAAAATTTCCCCAAACTGGTTGGTTCGACTTTTAAGAAATTCGAGTTAAAATGAGTTTGAGAACTGAGGTACCACTGTACTTACAAAAAGTACTTACGAATTGAGTCTAACTTGAGGCAGTGTGTTCCTGGTTTGATATCAACGATAAAAGTAAGGAAGTATTTCCACAAAGCCGAGTAGCCAGAGAGTCCTTAATACTCCACTGCATACTGAAACGGTGCCCTTTTCTCCACTCTTGTTATTTGACTCTGTCTGCATAGGTGATGGAGCGAAATGCTTGGAGAGCTGCACTGGAGAACGGTCACTATGAGCTGCTGAGTCCTGACCTCAGAGAGAATGGGCCGGCAAAACCAGAGCACAGCGATGTGGCCCCCATGGAAATGGACGACGGCCATGTCAGGGTGGCGGGGAGGGACCGGTAAGGCTCCGGCCACACTTAATGTTCCCTCGTGTGCTTTTGTGTCAGCCAGATCAGGTGCCCGAGGCTGGGCAATAAAAGGTGACAGTGTTTTTTTTGGTAATCTGTGAAATTTACTGTGTGTAATTGTATTCCCTGGATGGGAAACACATGTGGTTTTGGGTCTGTTCCACTGCTACGCCATGTGAACATTGGTATCAAAATTTGATCGGTTTCCAATCTTAAAATTGAATTAATGCTGCACAGTGTTGGAAAAGAGAACTCCATTGCAGGAAGAACTCAGAGAACTCAGACACTTCATCCCATTAGTGCCATAACTCAAAGTATTTGATAGAAAAATTTCCAACTATGCAAACATTGTATGGGTGAAGATCTCGAACTGGTCAAATATTGAGACAAATCACCCCAAAATTGAAGCAACACCACATAGTGGCAGCAAAGGGAAGGATGACTGCAAAAGACACTTGACATTCATAAAGTATTTGAATTTTATCACCACTTCACAAAAACATTATGTAGATTATCTACATCTGATTTTATTTCAAGACAAATTGCCCCAAAATTGAAGCAGCAGTGTTAGGCGGCATCAAAGAATGGAAAGGGTGGCTGCAGAAGACACTTGATATCGTGAACACAGTACCTCAAAAATATTCAATGGATCTCTTTCAAACTTTCCAGGAGCATCATCTAGGTGATTATCTGGGGGCCTATTTCATTTTGAGGTGCATCACACCAAAATTGAGGCAGTGTTACTTAGTGGTGGCACACAAAAAGAGGCAGATCATGTGAACCTAATTACACTGAGAGAAGTCACCCAAGTTGGGCCTTTAAGGAGGTGAGGAGAGTGTGAAAGGAGGCTAGAGATTGCAGAGGGACTAGATGGGTGCAGAGGGGTCCAGGGAATATATTGTCATTTTCACAGCATATAGTTTTTAGAACAGTAGACCAATTACATTTCTGCAGCTGACTTATTGACATTGCTGCTGAATGTTGCAGCTGTTTGTAGGCTGTATAATTCTTCTGGTTTGCTTGTTTTGATTTGGGATTATTAGTGTGGAAAATTAAACTTTAACTGCACTCACTGAAAAATAGATATGATCCATAACATTTTTCAGAACCCAGTATTTCTTGGCTGCCTTGCTGTCTCCAGATTACAGGAACTGAAGGGCGAGTGTCTGAGTGTGCCATCCACCAGCTCCAGTACCCCCCAGCCAGTGAATAACTGTGTGCACTACCTGGCCCGGGCGCTGGCCCAGATCGAGCAGGGCATTGAGCGGAAGTTCCTCAAACCACCACTAGGTAGGGCTGCTACCTTCTACAACTTGTGTTGTCATTCTTCAAAGGGATCCTAAGTTTCTTCATAAACTTGGAAATGGTGGGGCATTTGCTGGGTGTTTTTGAATATGTATATAGCATCACTTTTATACCTAGTATTGAGGAACCAACCTGGGTTAGTTGAGTAGTTTTCATTCAGTTTCAGTTCATTTGCCCATCTGGCAAGTATCTCCTTTTTTGTGTAATAAAATATGTACATTTGAACTATGAAATGTATTGCCTGTCACTTTAGGTCCTTTTTTTTTAACTTGAGGTGTGAGACAGGTCTAAGCATTACACATGGTTGGTTTGCTTTCCTGGTTTTTGCTGATCTCTCCAGTAGGTGGAGATGATACTTGGTGGATTCTGTTCTTGTCCAGATTCTCAAATTTAATGTTTTAAAATTTAGCACTTTTTTGTCTTGCATTAATTTTAAAACAGGCGATGATGATGTGAAAAAAGACCAGAAAACCAAGAAAAAAGAAAAAAAGAAAGAAGATGACCTGTCGAGTGAAAAAGATGGTATTTCTCAGCTCTAATTCATTTGTTAATGAATTGAAGTCTCTTGTTCAGTTTCATGTTGTGACTGTTGGTGTTAGGCAGCAGACGTCAGGCCTTCCTGCATGGAGGCGTCGTGCTCTGGCTGCTGAGCGGCCAGCTCCTACCTACAGGACTGACCGGCATCCTCTCCCCCAGACGGCAGTGACAGCGGACGCGTCTGCAAGACGGTGCAGGACCGCTGGCGGGAGTCCCTGCTCAGCTGCTCCAGCCTGTCGCAGGTCTTCCTGCACCTCTCCACCTTGGAGCGCAGCGTCGCCTGGGCCAAGTCCATCCTGAATGCCCGCTGCAAGGTGTGTCGCAAGAAGGGCGATGCAGAGAACATGCTGCTGTGCGACGCCTGCGAGCGAGGCCATCACATCTACTGTGTGCGACCCAAGCTCAAGGTACGCGCGGTCGTCCATGCTGAGCATTTTTCTGCACGCCTCTACGGCACTTTCACCAATACTGCTGGAGTACTGCTTACACTCATTGCTTGTTCCATACTTCTGTAACATCCTATGTCCTCCCTGTATGACTTTGCCTACTCTTATGATGGTGGTGGGTTGTTGTTTGTTTACTTTTTAAAGTTGATCAAGTAAATTTGAAAGTAATGCCACGATAGAACTCCTAGATTGTCCTGCCTTGATTTCTGTTTATTGAACCTTACAGCATGTGGATGTACATGTTGTCTGTCCTACCACATGGTGCATATGTGCAGTAGACTCGTCTAATCAAATTTACAATTTGTAGGGAGACCTTGATTTTCCTTCATCTTTTTTTCCCAGTTTATAATAAGCTGCTGTCTAATTTGTTTAATGTAATTCATTTCATTCCCACCTTGGTCAAAATACATAACCATTGTCATAAAAGATTTTAAAAATCTGAAATCCAGTTTTTAAATTGCACAAATAGAAGCTTAGAAAGAGCTTTCTACAGCATTAAGTATATCTGCAGGAAGTCCAAAGGGTTAAGTAGGTCTGCTGTAGATGTAGATACATGTACATTGAGTCAATATATAGTAGTACTTGTTACCTGAAAAGTGAATCACTTCATCCCAGGCCATCCCTGCTGAGGACTGGTTCTGTCCGGAGTGCCGTCCGAAACAGCGCTCCCACCGCCTTCCTTCCCGCCAGCGTTCCTCTATCGACTCGGAAGAGCTGGAGTCAGACAGAGGGGGTGAGGAGGAAGAGGAGGATGAGTCTGAAGAGGAGCAGGAAGAGTCAGGGGAAGAAGAGTCTGAGGAAGAGAAAGAGAGGTAGATTAAAATGACCAAAAAGATCATGTGTTAGATTTAAATGACTAGTGATATGGAGAAATGTGCAATTATCAGAGGTAATCCATTAATCATAAGTTGTCAGTGTAAGTAGGAATAAGGAGATGAGGCCTTGTTACCGTGGTAACCCTCTCTAATGCCTTGTTCCTCCAGCTACCCTAAAAAAGGCCGAGCTATGGTGAAGCTTCCCCTAACAACCAAGGGAGGGAGGGCAAGCAGCAAGTCTACCACCCGGCAGACTGATTCCGGTCGCTCCACCCCCCGTAGCCAGCAGGCGGCACCTAAACAGTCTCCTGCTGCTGCAAAGGGGACCTCAAAGTCCTCAGGGAAGAAGGGAGCTAGTGGCTCGAACAGCAGGCCACCTCCTAGGGCGGGGAGCCGGAGCAGTGCCCGCCTGAGCCAGGAGATGCTGTCCTGCAGTGCAGCTGCGGCCTCCAAGCCAGCGGGCCAGCAGGGCATCCCATCCTCAAGCAGCTCCACCCCAGAGAGGCAGGGCAGCGGCCGAAAACGAGCCGCCACGGGTGTGTGTGTGTGCCTTCACTAACTGTCCAGTAACCAGAATGCTGACAATGACAGTGACATCTGAGAAATCATATGGAGAGTAGCATAACAATTGATTCTGATTCTGAAAAAAATAGCTGGGAATGTAACATATAGGTTCCATACATCACTCCTTTTCGTTCCATAATAGGATATCAAGAGTATCTAAAGAAAATAATTGATATGGTACTGAATAGCTAGTAAGGGGACAGTTGAAATTCTGATGAACATAGGTTGCTGTTGATTCAGTTTTCCCTGTTTTAACAAGGCCTAATTTTGCTGCAACTTTAAGGTTACCAGTCAGAGGTTTTACATGTGGCTGAAGGAAAGTACTGTATGAAAACTGATTGTAGTTTGTTTTTGTTTTTTTTTATTATTATTATTATTACCCTACCAGTTCATCCGAGATGTAGGGTAATACAGGAAGCCAAGCCTGGTTATTTAATTTCCTGCAAAGGGGTGAGCCTTAATAATGACCTTTTGCTTTACACTCATAGAGGCATCTCCCAAGGCAAAGGTTGTCCTGGCCACATCCACCTCTAACCGCCGCAGTTCAGGACGAAACCAGGGTGTCCACGAGCTGTCTGCCTGCGAGCAGCTGACTGTGGAGCTGGTCAGACATGAGGATAGCTGGCCCTTCATGAAGTTGGTGTCCAAAACTCAGGTAACACACACACAGATGAACAGGATATATTGCAAAATGTACAATAATGTTAGTCCATGAAAGTTTCAGCCTGGTTCTACCAGGAATCATCAGGACCAGAGATTGCCTTAAGTCAGGCTGTTATGATGTGAGGATTCTTCACTGGTTAAACACTGCTGTTGTACAGCCCACTGATGCTCATTGTCTGAAATCTCTTGTGACATAGGTGCCGGACTACTATGATATCATTAAGAAGCCCATTGCTTTGAGTATAATCAGGGAAAAAGTCAACAACTGTGAATACAAAACTGCCTGTAAGTAATTCTGTTTGCATAATATAAATCAATATACAGTCGGTCCTGTATGTTGCTTGTTTGTGTATTTCTTGTCCAGTGTTCACCTGTGTTTTCCCTTAAACATTCTTTTTCAGCTGAATATATTGAGGATGTGGAGCTCATGTTCACCAATTGCTTAGAGTATAACCCGCGCAGCACAAACGAAGCAAAGGCTGGAATTCGGCTTCAGGCTTTCTTCCACTCGGAGGCACACAGACTTGGCCTCTCCACTCGGGGAAGTAACCAGGCTGGACCACCCCAGAAACGCCCCAAAATCTAACCTGCAACACGGTTCTTTTTTAAAAAAAAGGCAAAAATTTAAAAATGGCTCCACAAGACGGCTTTGGCCGACAGACATTTAAGTCCCTGAAGTGGTAGGGAGAATTATGGCCTTCTAAGTTGCTCTGGACCCTAATTACTGTGATCTGCACTGTAAACCTTCAGCTGGTTCTTTCAATTTAAAAAATAACTCAGGACAAAAGAATTGTGGTATCAATTTTTTATTTTTTTTTAATTATTGCTAACGCATTTATTTTGTATATTGGCTAAATTTCTAAACATGACTACTTTTGTATATTTTTCTGCTTTGATTTTTTTTTTCCCTTCTGCTGTTTTAATAAATTAATTATTGCATCTCGAAGGAACTTTTAGGTGTTTCATAGAGCTGACCTGACAGTTACTTGTTCAACTTAATATTCAGGTTCCCACCTTTCTGTGCGACACTACAGAGGAACCAAAATCATTTATTCCTGTGTGACATTTTCTTAAACTGAGTAGATATTTATTTTAGTTTTGAAATTGCTTTGAGTTTAAGGACCCAATCGTATTTATAAAAATGTTACTATAGGATGTTTGTCTTGCTTGGTTTTGTAAAGTATTCCCCAATTAGTACTCTACTGAAGCAGTTCAAGGAATTGGTTTTGATGGTGTTTTTCCGTTTCAAACACGTTGTCCTGTAAAGTTTTTTTTTTTTCTACATGTAAAAATAAATTGACCTTGTTTAATATTCGGTCTCCGTGTTGTTTCACATCCTACAGTCGATATTTGGTTCTCCGTGACCTAAATATTAATTGCAGGCTGTCATGCCTGACTCGCCGCAGCATAACGAAGAGTCCCTGGCATGCTGACGCGTCTCCCCACGTGCTTTTCTTATGCCACACTTTATCCAAACCCCCTCATCGATCCTTTTGAAGACAAAATTTCTTAATCCACACACGCTACGTCCAACGCCTTACATTACAATGCAGCAACTTTTTTCACTGAGTACTGATTGAGGAGAGCCACCGTCCAGCAGCGTGCTGACTTTCCGGGGAGCCTCCGCGCAGCACGTCCTTCGGGAGCCGGCCTCTGATCCTTTGCACAGGCCGCCCCCGCTGCCAATCGGCCTGCTGCTCCCGCCTCAGCGGCCGCTGCGTGTTTGACCCCCTTGCGTTTTCCCTGCCCCCTCCCTCCCTCCCTCCCTCCCTGCCAGCCCCCACAGCACCCTCCTCTCGGTCGCGCACATTCCCCGCACCGCCAAGCCTGTGGGAGCCACGCAGCGAGCCGCATAAGCCGTCGGCGCGACCATCGGACAACATGGTGAGTGAAGCCGTGCGCGCTTCGGAAAGCGGCCGGCGTGCGAGCCAGCTGCGGCTTTAACTCTTTAACCACCACCATCTTATACTCGCCGCCACACGGCTACGCGGGTAATAGACTGCAGGTTGCCGAAGCCGAAGGGCACTTTTCCGGTGAGAGGAGTACTTATGGGCTCTTTTTATAATGGTACAGTAGTACAGTTATAGGCGGCCATTTTAACCTAATTTTAGCCGCAGTGACCGTCGGCTGCCGAGTTGGTCAGCTAACTTTAAGGGACTTTTTTTCTCTCTAATTTTGAGTGAAATCAATCAATCAAAGATGTTATATGGTTAAAACAAAACTAAATTAACTCAAATTAATTGACTCAAATGAGTGTAAAGGAAACCCCCGGTGCTTGATCGCATGCCTTATATATCAGGTGTAATGCTAGCCAGACGTGACTAGCTAACTGTCCGCTTTGCTGATCTAACTAAAGGAGTTCAGACTTTATTATGGATTATAAAAAATTATGAGATTTATTGAACTGGTACCCGTATCGTCATTTGTACGTTAGTCGCTGTTAAAACTTTGTTTTTATTTTAACTGCTTTCCTTCTGCATCAGGCGTCAATATAACTTGTTAATCTAATAATCCTGAATGAGAACTCGAAGTTAGTTGACTAAAACGAGGATTTAGACATACTTAAAGTGGAACTAGGTTTGTCAGTTGTCTACGTTTCTCGGTATTTTTAAATTAAAATATTTTAAAGATATCGGTTATAGTTTTATGAATATGAAAAGTCGCACTAGGAACACGGCCCATAGATTTTTAACCTTTCACTTCATTATAGTCAGTTCTTTATATACACACACAGACACACAGTCTAGCGCATTATTACTCTTACTGGAGTCATCATATCACCTGTTATAAGTTATTTCTGTCATGTTTGTTGTGTACTGCTTTGAAGAGTAAGTCCCTAAAAAGTAAATGAGTACTTTTGATGGCAGGCTTCTGGCGTCACAGTCAACGATGAAGTCATCAAGGTCTTCAATGACATGAAAGTGCGGAAGTCGTCTTCCTCTGACGAAATAAAGAAGCGTAAGAAGGCAGTTCTCTTTTGCCTGAGCGATGACAAAAAGAAGATCATCGTGGAAGAGGGCAAGCAGATCCTGGTCGGGGATATTGGCGAGTCTGTTGATGATCCTTACGCTTGTTTTGTAAAGCTCCTACCTCTGAATGACTGCCGGTACGGCCTGTATGATGCCACATATGAAACGAAGGAATCCAAGAAAGAAGACTTGGTATTTATATTTTGGTATGTTGTTTGTCTGTTTATAAACTTTGTGTCCATCCTGAGTTAGGATGCCTTTCTGCGCACCTCCTTGCTTATGATTCTTCTTATATTGAAGAAATCACGTAATCAGCAAAGCATTTACTGATCTTTCTTGATTTTGACAGGGCCCCTGAAGGAGCCCCTCTAAAAAGTAAAATGATATATGCCAGCTCTAAAGATGCCATCAAAAAGAAGTTCACAGGTGAGTGTCTTGCATTTTAAATGTTTAATGGTCCCACATCATCAGAGAGAAATTTGTGACGTTTGTTTTAGACTTTTTACAAAATCAGTAGCTGTAACGTGAGCATAGTTGTGGAATGTTTACACATCTTAGCACAGGAAAAACGGTTCTGAGTAAAATAGACATATTACGGGCCTTTGTTGATGTTTTTGATGAGATAAGTGTGTACAGCTGTTCATCTGATCCATTTCCAAAGATTTTTAGGTGAAACCAGCACTGAGCTCTCCTGTTTGTTCTAACCTTTATCCTGACTTCCCAACATACCTGCCCTGTTTCAAATAGTCTTCTCTATGAAACAGAGAATCTCTCATGTGCAGATTCCTGATGCCAATCATTTTTCCATCTGGAGGTGCTAAATGCTTGTTTCAGTTTTCAGTTATTTCATTTGTCTTTTGTAGGTATCAAACATGAATGGCAAGTCAATGGTTTAGATGACATTCAAGACCGCTCCACACTGGCAGACAAGTTGGGTGGCAGTATGGTGGTATCATTGGAAGGGAGGCCCTTGTAAACTGAAAGACACGTGCCATTTGCATCCCGTCGTCCCTCTTAGCAGCATTGTCTGTACCCTATGGTCTTCTTGGAACAGTTATAGTATTTCCACCCCAAATGAAGGAGGTCTCACTAACTTATATAAAACACTTGTTTTTGTCTACCAGTAGTTGACTTTTTCTGGTTTTCTGGTAGCTTTCTTAAAAGATCTTGACTCATGTCAAGGAATATTTTCATTTCTAGTGTTTTGCCAAACAAAAGTAAGCCACAATCGAAGAAGAATGCTGATATCCCAACATATAAAAACGCATCGCTCACAACTATTGCCATAAATATAAAGTTGTGTAACTTACAGCTAAGAGGTTTCTTTCAAATGCCTTGACAATTGTGTGCACTGTTCTGGTGCTAGCCAATATCCAATATAAACAATTTGCACTCGGCCGAATTTTTCCGTGAGGCTTATGTGTAACTGTTTAGTCTTGTTGACAGAGGTTTTTGACAAGGAAAATGATGTTTTACACTATGCATTCAAAAGCACTTTTTGTAATTGTATTTTTTTAAATGCTTCAAGTTCAAGAAGGAATAGAGAAAGGAATGCCTACTGAACTTCTGTATTTGTGTCATTTATGAATTGACATTACCTCAGTTTTCATTCCTATTGTGCACACGTAAATGGAAAGAAGTGTGTTGTTGCTCTGTGGCCTTCTTGTGTTTATCCGAATGTACAGTACAATCGCAGAATAAAGAGACTCGGTGACACTAAAAATGAAATCTACACAATCAGTCAACTTGGCGTTAGTGTGATTGGAGCCTTAAATTATGTGTTTTTTTAAATCAGCAAAGTTTCTACTTTGCAATAAAACCTTGTGGCTGATATATTGTTGACATGTCTTTTGTTCCCTTTCCTTAAAAAATTGTGCTTAACCATTATCTTTGTATATAATTCTTTATATGTATAATGTATGTATAATTCTGCATATGGGTTAGCAACACATTTCAGTTGGATTAAGCATACAATACACAATACCTCACCCATATATATCCATTCTAATCTGACCAGAAATGTTTTATTCATTATTAGCAATACTTTGTTTTATTGGACTATATTATAATTTTTTTTAAGATCTGTGACATTTTATATATAAAATTTGATAAAACTAAGACTTTTCAATATAATAGTAACAGTCTAGTGGTTATAGTAGTCATGGACGTTTGCTGGATTGTGAACTGCCCCCTCAAAGTGATAATGACTTTTTTATAAGACCTTTCCTAAAGCTGTAAAAATGAACAATTGAATAGAAAAATACATTCAATTGTGTAGGTGGCCAAGAGCTTCTATGAACGCATTGTCTTACAGTGGAGCTAGCAACTTTTACAGGAGCCAGGGGCTGCTTCTCCTTGTGGAGAATTTGATCTACTGCTGCCGAGCAGCCCTTTGCTGGTCAGAGCTATTTATGGCCAACACATGCTTTTGTGTCTTGTCATCGTTGTCTACAAATGGCAAAACTGGACGCGATTCCAGAGCTGTGCTGAAGGGAAGCCCCGTCGAGCAGCCAGTACAAAGAGTGTTTTGCAGAGAGCAGAGCAGGGGATAGCAAAATGCACAAATGTCATGTTCAACAAAGCCTTTGTGCATGAGAAAGCACATTAAATCAAGGTTCGTGACAGTAATCCTAAAACGCTGTTACAGAGTGTGATTTATGTTTTAGATGAATGGTGTGTTTTCAAAGATTTTGTGTTAAAGGGCTGCTGTTAGTATGAAAGCCTAGACTGAATTATCGCCCTAGTCTGTAACTTCAGCAATAGATTTCCCAGCTGTCATGAAGACACAACCAGCTATTACTTAATTTCTCATGTAGTTAGAGGTGTGAGGAGATAATTGATTTTTGAGTATCTACATTATGGCTACTGTTCTTTCATTGCAAGTTGATTGATTTACCTAAAACAAACTGCCTATTAGCAACACACTATAATCAGTTGTTATAGGCACAGTACTCTATGTGTGTGTGTGTGTGTGTGTGTGTGTGTGTGTGTGAATTGACTATATACAGCCGTGGAAAAAGTTGAGACCACAGCATATATTTTTTGTTTCACTCATTTCTTAGTGTATGGGTATTATTCTGTGAATTTTATATATATATATAAGTGTGTGTGTTAATTTTTCTACCACATAGAGAGAGAGAGAGCAAGCAAACTCCAGCCTGGCTCTTCCCTGTTTTTCATTAATGAAGGGCTTCTTCCATGCTTTGTGGGTCTTCAGTCCTGCTTCTTAGTGCCTGATACTAACTGTCCTAGCAGTGCACTTCACACCTGCACTTAATGTTTCCCATTCCTTTTGAAGGTCACTTGATAACATCCTACGATTCATGAGAAACTGATAGATAAGTTAACGGTCATCTCTGGCATTAGAATGTCGCTTCCGCCCTCTACCTGACTGGTTACTGGTCATTCTTGTGTACTGCTGTCTTAGAAATTTTGAACCTGGAAGCATCCTGCTGCTCAGTGTAGCCTTCTGCCAGCAGAACCACAATTAAACCAGAATTTTAAAAATGCAGAATTGTTTAAAAATATTGTGTGTCATTTTTTTCAGTGACTGTATCTCACAGATAAAGGATCTCATAAGTTTGGGGTTTTTTTGTCAAATGCACAAACATACACTGTACATCTGTGCAGTGAAATGCCTTTCCACCCTCTACCAGAATTGTGCTTAAAAAGAAATAAATGTGATACAGAGTTTGAAATGGTGCAATTATTTTTGCGGAACAATCATGCTGAACAAGTTGTCCATAGTGGCAATTATTAAGTAAACGCTGGTTGGGTCTTCATGACAGATGGAAATGCGTCTGAGACACTACATCTAATTTACTTTGAATTGGATTCAAAATACCCTTACATTTTTTAACCAAATAGATATAACACTTGTGTTACAAATATGCCAAAAATAAGCTAAGCTTAAGGAATAGCATAGACAGAAGAATTCAGGTGGACTTGTGTGCTTGGGCAGTAGGAGAGAGCAGTGGATTAAAAAAATAGAAGAAATGTTACCTGGTGTTTTTATTGCTGCCCCATATGAGTGCCGATTGCTTCATACAGTGTATGTTGTAAACAGCAAGGAAACGCATGATGCAATCCTCTGCTTGCTCAATTTATACTCCGTTTGTTAGACACAGACTAGCTTATCTAATTTTATAAATGCTTATTTATTTTTTGAATATTGTAACTGCAGTATTTTGGTATAGATACAGGATACACATGATGGATTATAGTAGTCCCATGTGAAATAATACGTAAATATCAGGAGTATGACTGCTGAAACTAGCCTTGTGTCAAATACCAAGTGAATTGTTTTCAATATTAAATGAGCCTATATTTGCAAACATAAGTTTTCCATAACAGGCTTCAAGGAGAAAATATTAATGGATTTCGTGTGTGTGTGTGTGTGTGTGTGTGTGTGCGCATGTGCTTATGCAGGTGCCACACTTTTAACCAGTCACAAGATGCTCACCAGACACCGGCACAAACAGTCTTTTGGCTTACCAGAATGTTTATAGGGAAGAGAACATTCACAAGTGTGACTCAACAGGTCTTGTACACAGATAACCAAACTCCCAAATCAGTGAGGCAAGACTTTCAGTGAAGTTGTGTTGTTTGGACCTGCATTATTTGCATAAAAAAAAGAATACACCTGCCCAAGATCCATCAATCCAACCACTTACCTAATAGAGGGTCACTGTATGTACAATATGTTTTCTGTACATCATTTTGCAGAGTCATTTCCATATGTAACCATATTATACCTGTATTTATCACCTGAAACACTTGACTGTGGCATCATCAATGTTCCTTAGACTTTCATTCTTACCCCGAAGATGATCTTGCCACGAAAATTCTGTAAACTTGCAGCACCAAAGGTCCTTCCACCTGTTTTCCCAGCAGTGTCACCTAGAACAAAGGGAACCTGACAATAACCTTAGTTCAGGTCCAAGACTGATATGAAGCCTCACATTAGTCTGGTTTAGGCATAAGCCGATGAGGCATCGGCTAAATCCACAATGTCTTTTCCGTACTAGAAGGTACTTGTAAACAATCAGGATTATTCCACACCAAAGCTATGAAAGTAGGAATACGTCAAGCAGCACATGATTCTTCTATAAGGACTATTTAAAGAGAAACGCCGCAAATAGCCCTGATGTGTCCTACAACATTCATTACTAATATGGTAAATAAGTTCTTTTTTTTTACATTTGGGGTGACTGACCCTGTAAGAAATATTACTCATATTTCTCAGTCCATTTTAGAGCACTTATCAGGTAACAAAAAATATCCCATGGTATGTTCTAGAACAGGGGTGGGGACCCTGTTCCATGGAGGGCTGGTGTGGGTACAGGTTTTTGGGATGATCTCTCAATCAGCCAATAACAGGGGGTCCCAAGGACTGGAGTTGAGAACCACTGTTTTATTACTGGCTGATTTAGAGATCATCCTCAAAAACCGCACCCACAACGGCCCTCCATGGAACAGGTTCCCCACCCCCGAACCTGAACTTTATGCCTTGCTGCAAAATCTGCTGTAGATATCCTTCATATCCTGATATACTATTAGCATGTCATTCAGCCTGAGTCTTCCATGTCTCCCAATATGACATTACTCAGCTATTAGGCTGATGTGGGATGCATTTTCCATCAGCACTCTGATGATGGTTAATAGTAATAATGATGGCGTACAGCAGATAATTTGCATCCCTGCCAAAAAATATCTTGCCAGCTGAAAATGGTGTGAAGAAAAATGTTTAGTCGATCTCTTCTGCTGCTGTGTAGACCATAAACATGAATATAATAGTCAGCATGTAAGATGGAGAGCACAGGGATATCGGTCAACAAAGCATTCATCAGAGTCAAACTTAATTGAAAATTTATCAAGTTAGACATTGGTATTGAATAACAAACACATGTAGAAGGGGCTTGTCCTATTCCAATGTTAATTTTAGTCAGGCAGGGAACTGTCCTGTTCCCTTTTTCTGTTTATGTTCTACATGTCTGATTTCCAGTACAACACCAGCTTCTGCCATCTACAGAAGTTCTCAGACCACTCCTCCATTGTAGGATACACCAGCAATGAAAATGAGTCTGAGTACAGAGGAGCAGAAGAGGACTTTGTCGGGTGATACTGGGAGAAGAACCTGCAGCTCAACATCAACTAAACTAAGGAGCTGGTCGTGGACTTCCAGGGGTAACAGGGAGCCCCTGAGACCGGTCACCATCCTTGATACATGGCTACAGTTACCTGTGGGACTACCTGAACAGCACACTGAACTGACCAGATAACACAACAGTGCTGTACAAGAAAGGCCAGGGAAGAGGATGTTGGTAAAACTGGACAATACTATGAACAGTTCTGCTTATCCGCTCCAGGGGGCGCTATCCTGGAGCACGTTTAGCTACCGGCTCATTCCACCATGCTTTGATAGAAAACCTTACTGGAGATCATTCCCGCTTGCTGCCATCAGTCACCACAACGCCTCCTCCTGACATGTGCCACTCAGCCAGAACACATCAGGAAATGATCCATCTTGTACAGTAAACACCTGGTGCTGTATGTTCATTAATTGCACATATCGCTAATTTATTATCCTTATCTTCACGTATTTCTGTAGTATCACAGTACTTTTTAAATCTGTTTACATTGACATCACGCTTTGTGCTGTTTTGGCACCTTGCCTGTTTGGCACTGTTGTCCGTCTGTCATTTTTGCTGCTGGGATCAATAAAGTTAATCTTTATCAGTTCATCCTTTGTTTTTTTGTCCTCAGAACTGATTTTTTTTAAATAACTGTATTTCGGCATTCTAGTCAGTAATACATTTTAAGTACTAAAATCTTATGTTTACCTGAGTGGAACACTAGTGTTAGAGATTTACATTGCATCAGTCTGTAAATATAAATACCACATTACCCTATAAAAACCCCTACATATAAAGTGAGAAAAGCACTATGGCTCCACCTACTGGTAATATTTTACTTAAGGAGGAAATCATAAAATGTCCTTGCATACAAAGATGTTTTTGGACCATGTAAAATTCACCTGTCTCAACCACATCATGAATAACACCATGATTTTCAGAATAATTATTTTGTTAATGAGGAGAAATATAAATGCAGGAAAAACAACCTAGACCTATTTTTCCCTAATAGTAAATAATTAGCTAGATTGACATTATTTTTGGCTTCATATAATAGGTTTGTCTTGTGTCCTAAGAAGTTTCATTATTATTGATTATTATATGAAATATTCTTTGCACTTTTTCAATTGAATTAAATTTTATTTATATAGCGCTTTTGACAAAGAGCATTGCCGCTTTATAGAGTCCCAGGTCAGGGTGACAGTGGGAAGCCTATCTTACCTGGGGAGGGCAGGCAGGTAGTCAGCTACACAAGAATGCAGGTAGGTAGTCACCTTCACAGGCAGGTAGGTAGTCAGCTATGCAGGCAGGCCGACAGGTAGTCACCTTCACAGGCAGGCAGGTAGGTAGTCAGCTATGCAGGCAGGCCGACAGGTAGTCAGTTACGCAGGCAGGCAGGTACCTCAAGCTACCTCTTACCTGCATCTCTGTCTGATGATTTACCTATAATATCTTATTTATATTTGCAAATGATGATGAACTGCTTATATGACATTTGGGGGAAAATCACTGGAATTCAAACAATGTGTTAGTGGGACACAAAAATGACCTATAAAATATGTGCAATACTACTGCTGAGCTGTGTGTACTATTTATAGCTCTTTGCAAATCATATTTACGCTGCTGTAAAACTATGATCATACATCTGACATAGCATGTCTGTTCAGTCATTTGAAAATCTGTCCTCTAGTCACCGCATTATTTTCAGTTGCCCCATGTAACCCATGTATTTGTTGAATTCAGTCACTTGCATGCCTTGTTTGGTTAACAATTTTAAGTAAGCAAGTGGTGAAATTGAACAAATACATGGAATGTCTTGGCTTTTCCCAAGGAGAGTTTTGGGAACCAGAGCTCTATAGAATACAATGAATATAATAGTGTTATATGCGTTTGCACAGGGGGACCAGTCAGGGCCAGTCAGTCCTATAGGAGTAATTGATGGCCAGCTAGAGTGCCAACTTCTGAGGGAGTGCCAACTTAGCCAAGTGTATTTTACGAACGCGCAGAGCAGCTAAGCGATGTAGGGGCCCCTAGAAGTACTGACGCCCTCTGTGGTGTCGGTACAGAACAGCTAATGATGTAGGGGCCCCTAGAAGGACTGACGCCCTCTGTAGTGTCAGCATATCTCTGCCATTAATCATATAAACATTCATGTGCAATACCATCAAAAAAATATTGTACAGTCTATATATTCAATATAGCTTATGCTGCCACATTGGCTTTAGAAGTCTATAAATGCCCTGCAAAATAGAGTGCCTTTTTATTTTACTATATGCACAAGCCAGGCTTGAATCTAGGGGCAGGTTAGTCTAGCTTACCCATCACGAATTTGGTCCATGCAAATGCTTTGTTGTTGTGAATAGGGAGGAAGAAAACCAAAATCTTTGAAGATAGACTATTCAAACTCACCTAAACATCCTGCGTGTATCTGAGTCCCACTCTCCATCTAACAGCATGGGGCCAGGCTTGACATTAGCCATGTTGTACCCTAATACAGAATGAAATTAGCAAAATACACATCACAGTGGCTCATTGTACACAATGAAGCAGAAACATGTGTAGCATTTACAGACGCTCCCCTACTTACGAACGAGTTACGTTCCGAACGACCGTTCATAACTTGAAATGTTCATAAGTTGTTATTCAACATCTGGAGATATGCACACTATGCTGCTGCGCAGCGGGAGTAGCGGGCAGAAGTTGTACTACCCGGAATTGGTGCGCAGGAAAAAAAATTGATGTTGCAGACAGGAAATGGGAGCCCAACGAACACAATTTGGACTTTCAGTCCTCTTTGTTCTTATGTCTGAAAGTTGTTAGTTCGTAAATACAATGAGGGAAATAATTATTTGACCCCCCATTGAATTCCTAAGTTCACCCATTTATAAAGAAATTAGAAGTCTATAATTTCAATGGTATGTTTATTTTAACAGCAAAAGATAGATAGATCAACAAAATAAGCGGAATATTCGGAAAAATAAGAAATAAATAAGAAATGATTTTATTGAAATATATCAGGGGTCCAGATCCCCCCATATTCTTGTTCCAGCAGTTTTTGATTAAATAAACCTTGCTGGGTTATCTGATAAATACATTTCACAAACCAAATGTAGAAGCGCCATCATGCTTAACAGGGAGCAGGGTTGAGATTCCCTGAAATATGTCATGTTGCAGCTGAAGTATGACGACCGAGTCAAATTCACTGGCTATTCTTAGCAAGGGCGAGGCCACATGACTCAGGCATCTTAGGGCACGTAGCAGTAACAGGGTAACATGCTCGTACTTGACAACATCGATCTGTACATCTCCGTGTGTCAGCTTTTTGTCACACTTGTGTATTTATCACATCAGTTTAACATTTTCTAAAGGCTGAAATATACTTGTTCAAATTATGACATGGATGAATATTTTATTTTTATGATATACTGATAATCCAGCAAAAAATAGCAGAAAGTAGTATATTAAATGGCCATTTTTGTGTGAATCAAGGATATAACGATTTGTCCAGATCAACTTTTCCCACAGATATATAATACTGTACAAAAGTCTCAAAGTGCCAAAGAAGAGTATATTTATGCTATGTTTGTGTAAAATAATGATTATACAGTTGAGGCCAAAAGTTTACGTACACGTAGGCTAAAGACTTTCAACCTCAATGCTTCACATCACCACAAGTCATGTTACTATGTTTCCTGTTAAAAGTGAATAAGGGTATCTACTTTATTTCCATAAAAGCTAAAATCAAAATAATGGCAAAGTAACAAATTTAAAAGTAACAAATTTATTTGTTATGTCAGATTTAAAGTAGACCAAACATTTGCATATATTTTATTAGTATTTGCCTTTTAATTGCTTAACTTGAATCAGGCGGTTAGGATATCCTTCTACCAGCCTCTCACAAGACGTCGATGTGGTCACATGATGTATGTCAGTCAGGTCTGAGGGTCGCCATGCTCAGTCATACGTACTCAGGGCTTTCCAGTGGCCACTCTGTACTTTCCCTTTGCTGTCTTTAAGCCATTTAGTTACAATCTGGAGGTTTGCTTAGCATCGTAGTGCTACTAGAAGATGAGGTTGAGAGCAAGTTTCAACTTTCTGCCTGACGTTTGGAGGTGGTGCTTCAGAATTTGTAGACATTCCTCATGATGCCACATAATTCCTGAAGTGCACCAAGCCCTTGACCAGCTAAGCACCCCCACCACATGGTACTGCCACCCCCATTCTTCATTATTGGGATTGTGTTCTCTGGCTTAAAAGCCTCACCCTTCCACCAAGCATAGTGCTGATCATTATGGCCAAACGGTTCCATTTTTGTTTCATCTGACCAGATAACATTCCTCCAAAAGGCTTCTTCCTTCTGCATCAGCCTTTCAGGCTATGGAGATGAAGGACTCCCTGGCGGATGTGGATACTTTGGTACTGGATCCTTTGCCAGCTCCTTTGTTGCTGTCTTGGGGTTGAAATTTCTTTCATCCCTGGGAATTAACTTCTGGCACATCCCTGAAAGGAACATTTGTGGGGTGCTTCCTAGATATTTGTATTTGCGTACAGTTGTTTGTACCGTTGCTTGTGGTACCATCCGTTGAATTGAAGCTTCTCTTAAGGAGCAACGGTACTTGTGAAGGCCCACAAATCTTTATCTAAGGACTGAGTTTTTGGTATTTTCCCATTATCAATAGCAATAAAAGGGATGGGCTCTAAAAAATAATTTCTAATTAAAGTAATAATTCATTTATAATTTCTGGAATCTTCCACACGGTTTAAAAGAGACATTCACATACTGTAGAAATCTTTGGACCCACTAAAAATCTGATATGGTGAATAAATGTGAGGGGTGGCTCAGTGCCGTAGGTCACCAGTTTGGGTTCTGGGAGCGGGAGACTGATGCCATAATCAGACCCTTGAGCGAGGCCCTTAACCCCCAGCTCCAGGGGTGCTGTACACTGGCTGACCTCGTGCTGTGACCCCCCAAGCTGCTCTCACCTGTGTGTATGTGTCTCATGGAGGGCAAGATGGAACAGGCAAAAAGACAATTTCCCCACAGGGATCAATAAGTATCACTATTGTATCTGTCTCATAGCTATCTTGACATTACCTTTTTATGGTAATAAAGTAGATACCCTGATACCCTAACTAATACATGGAATGCCTAGGGTGACCTTGAGGAGAGGTTTTATGAACCAGATCGGTGTTCTTCTTCCAACAAAGGTATCACAACATTTTTTTTAGAACAGAGGAAATTCTTGTTACTTTTTATGTTACTGTTTATTTGTATATGAGCAAATATACACGTACTGCCTGGATTAATATGTAATTTTAATAGCTAAAATATTACATTTAACACTTTACAATTAAGTGAGCTTAGAAATTACAGTGACTAAAATCCATTGCCAGTATTTTTTGCCAGGCTCTACGTTGCTAATGTAATAATTCCTCCAGGTTAGTTCTTTGCCTTTTAACACATGCACAAGTCCATAGCAATAAAGGTCTCAGTCACAAGTATTCATTGCAAAACAGTGTATCTATTTATATTAGTACCTGTATATACCCTTGTGTGTGTTTGTGTGTGTGTGTGTGGGTGTGTATCTCTCTCTCCCTCTCTCTCTCTCTCTCTCTCTATATAT